TTTTTCAAATAAAAATTGTGCATAAGTTAACGAGTAATCTTCTAAGTGTTATACTATTTTGGAATCGTTATTAAATGTGCCAACTTTTAAGGTTACTTGCCAAACTCTCGAAGTACATTTTTTTCCAGTACAGCCAGTTAAAGTTGAGCAAAGTTTTACTTTGGAATACTTGGTTGGGAAATAAGTGGCAATTTTTCCTGAACGAGAAAAGTTGGCAGTAAGGTTGAGACACCAGTTTGAAGATGCATTATTCATCATTACATTGTAAAAATAAAATCCAAAAAAAGTTAATATTTGTAGTAACAGGAGTTGACAGACTGCCGTAGGGTGTGAAATTTCTATATTTTTTTCAAAGACCTATGATTTTCAAAACACATACATAAAATTTTTTTAAATATTTTTCTGATAGCTGTTATGACTTTGCCTATCACCCGGTTTCGGCTTGACGTCGACTTCTGGGACACCCTGTATATCTATATTCTAAGATTCATACGAATCAAATCATCCGTCAAAACACAGTTTCACATTTATAATAGTAGATAAGCAATGTTTAGTTCAGCATTATCATCAGTTTATCTTCCAATAAGAATGCCTAAGCCCAAAGATAAGGTTCACCTAACGATCAAAAATACTTTCTAACGAGATACGATGAGGTTCCTATATGATACAGTTGAATAAATAGTTAAATACCTCTCAAGTCTTTCAAACCAGTATATTATACATTTTTGCAATTCCTCCATTTTTATGGCTCCTTTGGTATGTTTCTTACATTTAAATACCAAAAGCTTACATCCGTCAATGTCCGCTCCATGTGGAAAGAATCCTCCCATGACAAGAATGTCCATTCTCACCTTGGACTCATCCAAGTCTGGAAACAATCCAGCTCAATTTTTCTTCATAATCAAATTCAAATTCTTTCATTTTTCAGTAAATGTTATTGAACAGTAAAACTGTAAAACTAGGAACACAGTAATTGTAAAACAAAACATGACAATACAAGAAATTTCACGCAAATCAAACAAAAATTCCTGCAAGTGAAGGAAAATATATTAGTTTAAAAAAAAATCATGCTTTAAGGCAGATCAGTCTTGTAGAGTTTAGGAATAAACTCGTATTTATGTTTGTATGTTTTTTGTCAACTAGTGGGTCGACGTCGACTCGACTAGAAATAAACCAGTTATGAAGTACATGGTTCGCACCCATACCAATAAACAAAAAATAGAAGCAATTGTTAATATGAAAACGCCCTCAAATGTGACAGAAGTTCTAAGGCTTTCTTAGGCATGGTAAATTACTATGCTAAATTCATACCAGACATAAGCTCTAAATTGCAACCACTTGATCAGCTGCTAAAGAAAAACCAGCATTTCTTTTGGTCCCATATCCAAAAGAAGGCTTTCAATGACATAAAAAGGGATTTGATTTCATCTAGAGTACTGGTTCATTATGATCCCAATAAAACTGTAACGTTAGCTTGCGACGCTAGTGCTTACGGAATTTCCGCCGTGATTTCACATGTTTTTCCAAATGGTGATAGCCGACCAATTGCTTATGCTTCAAGAATCTTGAAAAATTATTCTTGCATGTGCAATAGTTTTTGGGTTAAAAAAATTCAATCAGTATTTATACGGCCGCCATTTCACTTTAATGACGGATCATAAACCTCTGGTTGCAACTTTTGGTGCAAAAAAAGGAATTCCATTATATGCAGCTAATCAGAAAATGGAAATGCCGACGGCTTATCTCGCTTACCCGATGAAAACACAGCTAGTAAGATGGACTATGTAGATTTCAGTCACGTATTTTATTTAGAAAATAATACTCCATTTAGTTTTAAGCAAGTAGCCATTGAAACAAAAAAAAAGACGTTACTCTTAATAAAGTTTATATGTATTGTCTAACAGGCTGGCCAGATAATGGGGTCCCAAGGGAATTGACAGACTTTTATGTTAAAAGAGATGAGTTCCTCCAAAAACTCCACTCACTCCGTGGCCCATAAGTCAGCATCCTTGGTCTAGAATCCACTTAGATTTTTTAGCTCCCATATTTGGAGACAAATACTTGATTGTTATTGACTCGTTTACAAAGTGGTTAGAGGTATTTAAAATGCAAACTGTCAATTCTCGCAATGTTATTAGAGTATTAGCTACGTTATTTTCAAGAATGAGGCTACCCGACACAATTGTTTCTGATAATGAACCTCTACTTGTGTCGACAGAATTTTCAAACTATTTACAAAAAAACGGTATCGAGCAATACAGTCCCCTCCATACCATCCTGCTAGCAATGGGCAGGCTGAAAATTCTGTCAAACTTATTAAATCTGTGTTAAAAAAGCAAATATGGAAAACAAAAATTTAGATAATGCTTTGTTAGACTTCTGCTACGATATAGAAATGCAGAGCACGCCACTACTGGCTATAGTCCGGCACAACTGATGTTTGGCCGAAATTTGAAAACCCGTTTAGATTTACTAAGGCCCAATAGGGCAATAGGTATTATAACGAAAATGTTCCCCATATTAATAAATTTTCTTTCAGGCTTCTAGAGCCTCATGAAGTAGCTGAAATAATTTCTAGTTTTAAGTCCGATGCAAAAGGTACTGATGGGTTGAGCTTGTCTATGATTAAGCTCAGTCTGCCTGTTACTCTCATCTACATCACCCACCTTGCTAATAGTTGCCTTGAAAGAGGTTATTTCCCTGAAACGTGGAAGCGAGCAATTGTGGTACCAGTTCCAAAAAAATCAAATCCAGATGAGTTTGCTGATCTAAGGCCTATAAGCCTGTTGCCTTGTTTATCGAAGGTAGTTGAAAAGGCAGCCCACATACAACTAATGCATTATGCAGAGGAACATATCATCCCATCTGATCAGTCTGCTTTTAGGAAATCTTTCAGTACTACTACTTCCCTCTTAAACTTAGTGGATAATATTATTAGAGCACTTGATAAAAAAATGGGCGTAGCAGTGATGTCAATCGATTATTCCAAGGCATTTGACAAAATAAATCATGAGTTGTTAATAGCAAAGTTGAAGTATTATGGCATAGATCCAATTGCATTGAATTTTTTTCAAAGTTATATATCAAATCGATCACAGTGTGTATCAATTGAAAACAATAAATTTAGTTTTCTAGAAATCTCGTCTGGAGTACCCCAGGGGTCTGTTTTGGGTCCCTTGTTGTTTTTGATATATATTGCTGATCTGCCTAAGGCTGTGAGTTTTTGTGAACTCCAGTCTTTTGTGGATGATACTCAACTGGTCCATTATTTTGATACTGATGATATGGAAATGGCACAGACATCAATATACCATGATATTCAAAAGGTGTATGACTTCTCGAATAACCACAACCTGTCAATAAATCCTGGTAAATCCAGCCTGTTATTTTTTTGTTCGGATCGTAGGAGAGAAGAAATTAAAAGTCGATTAACTATTAAAATTGGATCTCAAAGACTGTACCCGGCTGACGAGGTTAAAATTCTTGGCGTGGTAATCGATTTCAAACTTAGATTCACCAGTCATGTTAAAAATCTTTTGAAGAAAACCTACTTGAGACTGAGATCATTATATGCCAATAAAGCAATTTTCAATTATAAGCTAAGGAAAAAACTGTGTTCATCTTTGGTTATGCCGATTTTCAACTACTGTGATATTTTATATTATCCGTGTCTCAATGTTGTTACTAGAAATCGGATTCAAATTGTGCAAAACAATTGTGCTAGGTTCATCTGCGGTTTAAGGCCCTTTGACCATGTTTCTGGTAGTCTTATTGAATTAAACTGGATGATAACAAAAAATATTGTCAAATATCATTACCTTGTTTTTATTCATAAACTAATACTTATGTCAAAACCTATATACTTAAGAGAAAAGCTGATCTTTCGGCGAAATATTCATCATAGACATATTAGATTTCCAGATTTGATAACTACACCTATTCACTCCACAACTTTATTCCAGCGTTCTTTCACGTACAGGGCTTCAGTGTTATACAATGCCTTGAGTCCTGAATTCAAAACCATGTCCTTAAATTGCTTCAAATCTCATATTTACTTGGATCCATAGTCTTAAGTAGATTGCTATAGATATATTGTTAAATGATTCTTCACTTCCCTTGTGTACATGTAGCAAAGCTTGGTGCAACATATACGTATGTAATGTGTGTATATGTATGTATGTATGTACATGTGTATGTATATATGTATATTTTGTTTGATATCTGCTACTTAACAACTTGTTTTTTTTGCATGGGTGGTTAAGTGTAAGAGTAGCATGTTGCTAAACTTCGCCACCATATGCAACTCTTGCTTCTGTATGAAATACAGTTTAAATAAAGACGATTATTATTATTATTATTAATAACAGAATAGTGGTTGAACAAAAAACGGAAAAGCAAAATGAACACTATGGAGGTCATTCAAGGTTGCTTGAGGTGGGTGATAGTGTACATTATAGAGACTATTCTAAACCAAATGAAAATGTGTGGTTTCTGGGTAGTGTAAAAAGCCAGTTAGGTTCTTCTGTGTTTGAGGTAGAAACTCCTAACAATACCATCATAAAAAGACACAGCATCAGACTCGTAAAAAAAGACTGAGTGGCCAGCCAAAATATCAGTTCCATCAGAAATAAACACAGAAGAATCTAGTTCCATGGCATCTGGTGAAAATGAAAACATTTTACCGGAGCAAAAAAGTCAAGGTTGTGAGCAGGGTATAAGTACCCATGTGTCTCCTAGGTATAATTTACGGCCAAGAAAATAACTCTGTTTTTTTTTGAACCAAGAAAATAACTCTGTTTTTTTTTAACCCTGGTAAATTTACCTGTTATGTATTTCCTTCTAGTCGACTTTTAATAAGTATAGAAATATGTATTTTTGGAATAAGGGTGAAGGTGTAGAGTTTAGGAATAAACTCGTATTTATGTTTGTATGTTTTTTGTCAACTAGTGGGCCGAAGTCGACTCGACTAGAAATAAACCAGTTATGAAGTAAATGGTGTATGGTTCGCACCCCCCAGTTATTACAAATCTAAAAAGTAACATATTATTGCACATTATTTTTACTTTTTAGCCATTAAAACATGTTTTTAAACTATAATTTTTTGTTTTGGTTTTTTAGGTTCGTTGGATCTCTGAATAAAATCAGTTCTGAGTGATCCTCCTCTAAAGTCAACTGCTTTCTAGTTGTAACCAAAAAAACCCTAAATATAATTTAAAAACATGTTGAAAAAACTCATTTTTGAGGTTGAAATGTGCCTAGTAAAGTTGAGACCTCAAGGAATATGTTAAACTTGAGTTTAATAAAAACTAATTATATATAATAATAAACTTGAACTCAAAAGTATTCAGTTCCAAAGATCGATGTCGTCTGAAAATTTTATGATGAGGAATACTTGCCATTAACATCATTTTCTTTTCTCCATCTCACTGAATTCCACAGCATCTCAAGAGCCCTTTGTGTATCGTATTCTTGGTGCATGATGAACCTTCGTAACCAGTCGTCACTGGTTTTCACCCTTGCCAAATCTTTAGGGTGGACAGCTACAAAAAAACGAAATGTTCAATGTTAGACCGGAAATATCCGTTAAGGGGTACTTACAACCGCTTCCTTTTGTTTCCACATCTTTTAAAAATAAATTTCGCAGTTCCTCTATCTGGTTTTGAGGAACGGACATCGTATCCAGCGAAAATCTCAATTAAAACCTCTAAAATTAAGCTTAGCTATTAAGATTATAAGATAAGCGTATCTACACGAGGAGAGATAAAACCATATTACAACAAATTAATATAAAAGTACAAAACGATAAAAAAACTGGACGTTGAAAAACATCTAGCTTGTAGTTTCAAGGTTAGGCAAAACCACCGTTGCCAGATGGGTAGGACAGGATTTCCCCGGAGCACGCTCAAAAAATCTCTTAAATCACACTGCAACGGAAAAGGGTAGGCAATTGAAAAATCTGATTAACAAAGTATCTTTGGGATCCTCATTCCAACCGCGGTGCCCTGGCATTTAGGTTTCTGGCTGCACAGTGTTTCAGTGTAAAAAAAAGTGATTAGTAAAACCTGTATGTGATCTCATATTTGACTAGGCTTGTAGGGTCATACGCAGAAGATTTATACGATTTATCAACATGGGATTATCAGTTTGAAGTTCAAATGTATCCCTGTTAATGCCGCAATAATGTATGAGTAAATACATATTGCGAGAACGAGACTTCTCTCTTGCTCCATATGACTAGGATACAGCTCTTTCTACTCCCAATTGACAATGTAGAGATGTGGCGACATACGGAAAAAAAGAGAAATTTTTTTATTCAGAAGTGAGCAGTTCTGGCTGATTGAAAATGTAATAGAATACCAAAAAGTTCTGTTTTACCAACAAAATCCCACAGAACTTATATTCCCCAAAAAATTTTCGGATGTAAAATCTCTCGAACTTAGAGAAAAATCTCTCAATACGGCAACCCTGGGAAAATTAGTTCTAACGCACTACCGATAGATGCCGCAAAATACCATTACAAAAATCTTTCATGATAGCATACCAAACTTCGATATGCTACACTTAGATGGCGCAGGACAAAATACAATTATTATATTCGTTACAAAAAATCTAGGAACGTTGGAGTTTACGTTTAAAAACTGTAATTCTTGGAAATGAGAGATTCTTTTACCTAGTTCAACACCTACACTGAAAAGAACATTCAGGTATCCGCAACTCGTTGACAGTTGAAACTGACAGATAAGGGTGACAAGTGACAGGTGGGTAACATTTTTGTCTCAAAGCAAACAAAACTAACCATGGTTTTTTAGTAGATTTTTTATAAACTTTTTCAATGTAAAAAACAGCAATTATAGATTTATTGATTACATCAATTAATACTTCATGATGTCTTAAACTGGCATATCGTGTATACGGTTACAGTCTCGTATCTAGAAAAATGTAGTTACAAAAGGGATTTCCAAGTTTTCCACTTGAAATAGCGCAACATTAAATTCAGTAGATCCGATGGGTTCTCACCAAAAGCAAATATATCTAACTTCCGACCGATTATGCAGAACCTGCATGTATAGTGGTGCAGATGTCATTTCTTTGTTCGATGTGATTGATATTGGGGAAAAGAGGGAAACCTTAAGCTCCATACTTGTAAAATGCACTTCTATCCAGGTATGTGTTCAATTTGTTGTATAAAAATATTCTTCAAGCAAAAACAATTCAGATATCTAGATATTCATTTTCATGACCCCTTTCTGTAACATAGATATCTTGAAAACCCATCTTGTATGGCTTTCATGCATTTTTTGCGAATCCCAGAATGTGGGCCCCAGATGAGTGTATCCATATTCCAATAAAAATCTTACTAATGAGGCAAAAAGCTTGAACATACATTTCCAATCCCTAACATCCCTACATGTTTGTGATGTTAGCTCCACAAGACAATTAGCTTTGTCAATAATATACTGGTGACATGTAAATGTTAGCTTACAATCGAGATGCCTAGGTCTTATACTCAAAACAGCTCATATTATGAGTAAAAACAATATACAGTAAAATCTCTTGTGGATGGACACCAATTGAACCCACTGAAAGAATAGCTTCTGTTACCTGTTATGTATTTCCTTCTAGTCGACTTTTAATAAGTATAGAGATGTGATTTTGTTTTGAATATTTGTTGTTTATTTTTATACGGGAAATATGTATTTTTGGAATAAGGATGAAGGTGTAGAGTTTAGGAATAAACTCGTATTTATGTTTGTATGTTTTTGTCAACTAGTGGGTCGACATCGACTCGACTAGAAATAAACCAGTTATGAAGTAAATGGTGTTTGGTTCGCACCCCCAGTTATTACAAATCTAAAAAGTAACATATTATTGAAAATTATTTTTACTTTTTAGCCATTAAAACATGTTTTTTAAACTATAATTTTATGTTTCAGTTTTTTAGGTTCTTTGGATCGTCTGAATAAAATCAGTTCTGAGTGATCCTCCTCTAAAGTCAACTGCTTTCTAGTTGTAAGCGAAAAAAACCCTAAATATAATTTGAAAACATGATAAAAAAATTTATTTTTGAGGTTGAAATGTGCCTAGTTAAGTTGAGACCTCAAGGAATATGTTAAACTTGAGTTTAATAAAAACTAATAACTATATATAATAATAAACTGTTGGTACTGGAACCACATTGATATCAGAATCTTCAGAAAGTTCTTGTATTTCAACTGAACTTTCAATTTTTTGGCTTGAATCTGGATCTTCAACATTCAACCCATTAAGCCAATACTACTCGTGTATGTTAATTTTGATGCCATCTCCGCCATTTCAGGTTACCAGAAATGATATTTTCCCTCAACAAATATGCCAAATATGCTTGAAACGGCTGTTGGACGCATTTTTATTTAGAGAAGATTGTCACAAGATACATCGAAAGTTTGAAGAGCTGTTCCAAAGTCAAACCACCTTATTGTGCGATAATGTATTGGACACTATAAACAACGATACTGGAAATGTTCTAGCAAAAAATGATTGTATTTCTAATAATGTCTCAATACAAAGTGCAACTAATAGCAAGAGTATTCACGTCGTAGATGAAATTAATGTAAAAGTAAAACCTGAACGATTTGAAGATATCTGTGTGGAATCTGACCGTAACATAACTGAAGAGACTGAACTTGCCGATTTAGATTTTAAATATGCTTGTTCTAAATGTGACAAGACTTTTTGGACTGAACACACCTGGAAAATGCACGATAATGTCCATGCTAAGAGAAAACTGACAAAATGCGGTGTCTGTGGAAAAGCATTCACGAGGGTATTTGCTTTAACAAACTTTGTTTCGATTTCTTTTTACTTAAACTTCGTAGGAAATGTTTCATCGTTAATTTTCTACTGTAGGCCTGCAGATGTGAAACGTCACATGTCAGTTCACACGGGTCTGAAACCGTACACTTGTGCCATTTGTCAAGCATCTTTTACACAATCTGGATCGTTGGCTACGCACATGAAGAAACATGATGAATTTAAAGGATTGAACACTAACAAGAAAAAGATGGAGCAGATGGCATATCTTTGCTCTCACTGTGGGAAAGAATTTAAACATTGTTCTAGTTTGATTACCCATGTTAGAGGACATAATAAGGATAAACCATACTTTTGCACTGTGTGTGATATGAGGTTTGCTATTTTTATCACAAGCATTTATTGTCTCGACATGTATGTGTGTATGAATGAATGTTACAGGATATTTCAAGCTAATTTTCATCAGTTGCAAGAAGTATTTGCACTGGGACCATGACAGTACAATAATCTTGAAACAACGTTCACATTTGAAAATTTTTAAATAAATTGAATTTTGAAAATTGGAAAAAATTGGATTTGAAAATTTTGACAATAATTGGAAAATTTTGAAATTAATTGAATAAATATTTAAAGATTTTGAAAAAAAATTTAAACAAGTAGATTTAAATTGTATATAAAATATACCATAAATTGATCGTAATTACTTTTTTTGTCACTTGAGATAAACATTCGGAAAATAAATTTTAGTTTGAAAAAATAAAAAAGGATTTAATAGCAAATCGAAATAAAAAGTAAAAAACAATTATCAAGTATAGAAGAGTTTGTGTTGCTGCAATAGAATGAAATTCGCATCTGAAAATCTTTTGGAAACATGAAATTTGCAAAAGATTTGAAAATTTTGATAATAGTTGGAACAATTCGGAAATTTGGAAACTATTTTGAGGATTTGAAAATTTTGAAAGAAATTTGGAAATCTCGAAATTGAACAAATTTGGCAGTTAATTTAGATTTGTGAATATGAAATATACCAAAATTGGAAAATTCGGAATGTTATCAGTTATAAAAACAAGAAAAAAACATAAAAGTCAACATTTCTTTTTCTAATATTCTAGGTTTGTTTCTAATGGAAAACTATATGCGAATCCATACAGGCGAAAATTTTGAAATTAATTGAATAAATATTTAAAGATTTTGAAAAAAAATTAAACAAGTAGATTTAAATTGTATATAAAATATACCATAAATTGATCGTAATTACCTTTTTTGTCATTTGAGATAAACATTTGGAAAATAAATTTTAGTTTGAAAAATAAAAAAGGATTTAATAGCAAATCGAAATAAAAAGTAAAAAAACAATTATCAAGTATAGAAGAGTTTGTGTTGCTGCAATAGAATGAAATTCGCATCTGAAAATCTTTTGGAAATATGAAATTTGCAAAAGATTTGAAAATTTTGATAATAGTTGAAAAATTCGGAAATTTGGAAACTATTTTGAGGATTTGAAAATTTTGAAAGAAATTTGGAAATCTCGAAATTGAACAAATTTGGAAGTTAATTTAGATTTGTGAATATGAAATATACCAAAATTGGGAAATTCGGAATGTTATCAGTTATAAAAACAAGAAAAAAACACAAAAGTCAACATTTCTTTTTCTAATATTGTAGGTTTGTTTCTAATGGAAAACTAACTTCCCATATGCGAATCCATACAGGCGAAAATTTTGAAATTAATTGAATAAATATTTAAAGATTTTGAAAAAAAATTTAAACAAGTAGATTTAAATTGTATATAAAATATACCATAAATTGATCGTAATTACTATTTTTGTCATTTGAGATAAACATTCGGAAAATAAATTTTAGTTTGAAATAATAAAAAAGGATTTAATAGCAAATCGAAATAAAAAGTAAAAAACAATTATCAAGTATAGAAGAGTTTGTGTTGCTGCAATAGAATGAAATTCGCATCTGAAAATCTTTTGGAAACATGAAATTTGCAAAAGATTTGAAAATTTTGATAATAGTTGAAAAATTCGGAAATTTGGAAACTATTTTGAGGATTTGAAAATTTTGAAAGAAATTTGGAAATCTCGAAATTGAACAAATTTGGCAGTTAATTTAGATTTGTGAATATGAACTATACCAAAATTGGAAAATTCGGAATGTTATCAGTTATAAAAACAAGAAAAAAAAAACATAAAAAGTCAACATTTCTTTTTCTAATATTCTAGGTTTGTTTCTAATGGAAAACTAACTTCCCATATGCGAATCCATACAGGTGAAAAACCGTACATTTGCAAATGTTGTGGATCCTCGTTTCTCAATCAACAACCTTAAAGAAACACATACGATCTCACATGGGCGCAAAGGATCACAAATGTCAGCAGTGCAGTAAAAGTTTCGCCACTTCATACTACTTGAATATACATATAAGAAAACACACAGGTTAGCTTCATTTTATTTCATTGAAGAAATATTACGTCACTTGTTAGTGCTGCCCTTATTATCCTGCTTTTTAATTTGCTTCTATTAGCTTGGTCTGTGTGCATGTACCAGAATCTTTCAACCTATTTTTTACATTTTTTTTTTCAACTTGATAATTAGCACAGGGTTCAAAGGCCTATGACAATATAAAAATCTTGTAAAAAGTCGAATTCGGTTGGGACACCCTGTATGATTTAGTTTTAATGTAATTGGGCAGTAATCCCACCTCACTACACCATTATTTGAAGCAACGTTCTTGTTTTCAGCTTGATGAGTCTCATCAGTATGTTGATTACGTGCCAGTTTAAACTGTTACTTTTAGATGGATCTAGAAATATCGTTTCGTGAATCACCCTGCGTTCGTGTTTTTTCTTTCCTTTCAGGCGAACAGCCACTGAAGTGCAGCGTTTGTGGCAAATCATTTTCGGATCCGAAGAATCTGAAACAACACATGATGATCCACAGCGGAGATCGACCGTACCGCTGTCTGACATGCGGAAAGGCGTTCAGAAGAAGTCACCATTTGAAAACGCACATGGCTGGTCACCTAAGAAACTTGCAACTTGTAAGATAATTCGTATATTGTTGTCTTTTCATGGTTATACTCAGTTCTCTTGATTCACGAACAGCAACAATGCACTTTCTTGTTTCCTTGGCCTGATACATTTTTTTGCAATACATGGTGTTTCCAACACATGGGGAACTATTTACATATTCTATATAGGTATTTTTGTACGAAATTTCACTATGTACGGTGCATTCTGGTTTTCCATGAAATATTTTTTCGAATTTGTTTTTGATACAGCAGGGAAATACAAGTACAAAATGTACGTGATGATTGTACCACGACTCGTAACACCGAGTCTCTGCACAAGGTGAACAAATCTACGGGGCCTTGGATGACGACGTCTTGGAAAACGATCTGCATACACTCGCGAAGCCTCGGTCGCATTTTGAAGACACTCATCGTAAATTAACAGCATGTCTACTAGTTCGCTATTGGTGTATGAGTGTGCCATTTTTTTTTATTCTTTGAACAGGAATCGGGTACCAATGTAATCGTTTGTTGAGCTACACTACCGGTTAGGTTGCATGCTAGCGTATTTACATCGTAGTCGTACGTCGTATAACTGTACGTCGTGTAAAGGAAAACCTCAACTTTGCGGACACCGTAAAAGTTAGTCAGTTAAATAGAAAACAACTGAAAAATTCGGCAGGCGTTCATGAAATTCCTATAACTATTATTAGGGGTTCATTAGATGTATTAAGCTATATATTTATTCTATATGAAGGCTTGTACCTTTAGTAGTTTAACCTATATGTAGTGTTCGTGGTTACACCATTTATTACAGTTTTTACTAGTTCAGAATGAGCAAAATGTCACTCAGATTATGCAGTTTAATCTAGCGCACATCATCATAATATAGCGTCAAGTCCAGTAAATAGTACGACAACATGTTTTTTAAACTATAATTTTTTGCTTCAGTTTTTTAGGTTCTTTAAAAAATCAGTTCTGAGTGATCCTCCTCTAAGTCAACTGCTTTCTAGTTGTAAGCAAAAAAACCCTAAATATAATTTAAAAACATGTTAAAAAAAATTATTTTTGAGGTTGTAAGGTGCTCAGTAAAGTTGAGACCTCAAGGAATATGTTAAACTTGAGTTTAATAAAAACTAATTATATATAATAATAAACTTGAACTGAAAAGTATTCAGTTCCAAAGATCGATGTCGTCTGAAAATTTTATGATGAGGAATACTTGCCATTAGCATCATTTCTTTTCTCCATTTTACTGAATTCCAGAGCATCTCAAGAGCCCTTTGAGTATCGTATTGTTGGTGCATGATGAACCTTCGTAACCAGTCGTCACTGGTTTTCACCCTTGCCAAATCTTTAGGGTGAACAGCTACGAAAAACGAAATGTTCAATGTTAGACCGGAAATATCCGTTCAGGGGTACATACAACCGCTTCCTTTTGATTGCACATCTTTTAAAATAAATTTCGGAGTTGTTCTATCTGGTTTTGGGCACGGACATCGTATACAGCGAAAATCTCAATTAAAACCGCTAAAATTACGCTTAGCTAGATATAAGATAAGCTGATCGACTCGAGGAAAGATTTTATATATATATATATAAATATATATATATATATTTCTCTTTCAATAACCATATTACAACAAATTATAAAAGTACAAAACGATAAAAAAACTGGACGTTGAAAAACGTCAAGCTTGTATTTTCAAGGTTAGGCAAATCCACCATTGCCAGATGGCTAGGACAGGATTTCCCCGGAGCAAAATAGGGACGATAGGCGAAGGGCAGATCTACAACATACAAAAAATGACCCTAGTAAAGTTTCACTGTTTTTGAGATATTAATTTTTTTGTCTCTCTTTTTTTAATCTATATTTTGTTGCTGAGCCTAGAAATAACAGGATATCTGTTTGTTTTTTTATTTGCAAAATATTCTCGGATATTGGTCTGCCATTTCAAGTATCATTTTCGATAAATACAAGTACGCAAACTTGTCAAACTAATTTCTTCTTCGTAATTTTTATTTTATAAAACTATTTTGTTCAACTTTGCTGTTTAGCAATGAAATAAAAATGTAGTAGATTGCAACTGCAAAGTACTGCGATAAATTACCTGCTTAATAAGCAACAAAATATAGATCAAACGAGGAAATTTTTCGAAAAAATTAATATCTCAAAACAGTGAAACTTTTACTAGAGCGATTTTTTGGTATGTTGTAGATCTGCCCCATTTTTTTGTCGTACTATTTACCGGACTCCTTGTACGAGGCTTAGTTCTTAAACGTAAAATAGTATAAGCTCAAAATAATTTGTCCTGTGAACTGTATAAATCGACTTTATCTGTGATGAAAATTGTTCGTGCAAGTCCAACTAATGTTAAAGTATTTTTAAGATCCATTTGGCTTTAAATGTTTCTATCTGTGATCAAAATTGAAATATTTATCGGCATACCTGATATGCGTGATTTGAAACGAAAAATGTGTAGTTAATTTTTAATATGTTTATTGTGATTGTCCTGCTTTTATCTGTGATCTAAATTGAAATATATATTTCATGTGAAATGTGTGTGTGTTTCATTTACATCGATCCGAGCCAGAATCTGGAAGCGTATATTTTTTTTGCGGGGCTTATCTTTACATCTGGATATTCGTCGAGTGTTTATATGAAACTACAATATTTAAATACGTGTATTGTGAAGAATTATGTGCGACCGAAAAGGTTATACAGTACTTTGGAGATCTTTCTGTAAAGATTCTACGATCCACAGTTTAAACTTTCTTGTTATGAAAATGAATTACTCACACAGGTAAATATATGTTCATAAAGTGCGGTTATCACATTTTGCACACTCCATCCAGCGACTGGTCTAATATACGAGGGTGGTCCCAGAAGTACCCGACCCAACGAAGTAAACTCAAAAATGTTGTAAAAAAATGTATTTATTTTTCAACATAATCTGCTTTGAGCTCTATACACTTTTCCCAGCGATGTTCAATAAGTTCGATACCCTTCTTATAATAAGAACTGTCTAGCTTCTCAAAATAGCCATTAACTGCCGACATCACTTCTTCATCGTTGGAAAATCTTTGACCACTGAGCCATTTTTTCAAGTTTGGAATCAGATGGGGCCAAATCTGGTTGCATAGGGTGCATGAGGTAGCAATTCAAACTTTAGTTCGTTAATTGACGAAACAACACTTTCTTCTTAACCAAATGCGGCCGTTTTTGCTTGATTTCATCGCTAAAACGTTGCATTAAGTTCGCATAATACTCGCCGTTGGTAGTTTTACCTTTTTCAAGATAGTCAATGAAAATTATCCCAAAAAACCAACGCCATAACCTTGCCTGCAGATGAAACGGTGTTCGCCTTCTTAGGAGCCGGTTGTCCCTTTTGAGTCCATTGTTTGATTGTTCTTTTGCCTTGGGTGTGAAGTGATGGATCCATGGTTATGAAACGACGCAAAAATTCTGCTTTGTTGCTGTGAAACTTCGCTAAACACTCAATTGAAACATCTTCACGACACTGTTTTTGCTCGATTGTGAACAATCGCGGCACCCATTTTGCACACAGCTTTCTCATGTCCAAATTTTCAGAGATATGCGATGAACCGTACTTTTTGAAATGCCTACCATGTCTGCTAGCTGGCGCACTTTCAGTCGACGATCATTCAGTACCGCTTTGTGAATTTTCTTCACCATTTCGGGGTCGTCAACTCGTTTGGTCGACCGCTGCGATGCTCGTCTTGGCAGCTCGTACGGCCTCGTCTAAACTCTGCTACCCAATATTTACTGTTGTAAACGAAAGAGCAGACTCCAGTTCAGCTTTTATATTGGTTGGGCTGAGGCCTTTGAAATAAAAGTATTGTACCACATAACGATGACCAATTTTCTCCATTTTCACAAATTCAATGAAAACGTTCAGTATTGACGGCTGCCAAACAAATACTAAACAACGTGGCGTCTTCAAATTTGACACATATGCTTTATAGGTTGCATACTTTCTAATACAATGATATTTTTCAAACGACTATCATCTCTAGGTCAGGTCGGGTACTTCTGGGACCACCCTCGTACATGGTGTCCGCAAAGTTGGGGTTTTTCTTTTCAGACACAAATACGCTTGATACAACAAAGCTAATGTGTGGTGAAACGTGTGCGAACAAGTAAACAAAATTAAACAAAAAAGTACTCACTGTTCAGTTGAATTGAAATTCCAAGTACGGTTCTGTCGTAAAATCCGTATTTACATCGTAGTCGTACGTCGTATAACTGTACAAGGACAGGACCGGCTTCGTTTTGGTTCGGTTCTCTTAAGACATTGGTGTATATGTTACTAAGAGAATGTGCTTATAAAACCCCAACTTTGCGGACTCCCCGTATAAAGACAACAGGGCATAAAAAAAAACTAACAACGGGAGAAAGACATGGTCGAAATGTATATTTTTGGTTTCAAGGATTTTTTGGATTGTGTTCAACATTTTCACTATCAGCTCAACAGTAGCTTTCATGGTTCATATGTGGGAAGACTACTTGGAAACCCCTACAATTGTAACTCAATCGAGCTCGAACATTCCAATTCAGAACGTCTACTTTCCAGCGTTAGCAGTTTGCAACATGAATAAGATCAGCAAGAAAAAAGCCGTCGAATACGCACAGGAAATGTAAGTATTACACATGCTTAGAAGTATAGGCAAGAAAAAAGATACTTTCGGTAAACAGTGCTGACCACTTTCCCTTTTAGACTACGCTTACTTTGGATGCGAATTCGGAAATTTATTCTAGCTAGTTATTACGTAAAAAATTTACTGTAAAAAAAACCGCCTAGTGAACATAGTGACGTCAAAATATCAGCATTTTAGGGCACTACTGACGTATAGACAAAATCACGAAAGATGAATATTACGTCATACCCTAAATTGTACTGAAGTAATCAGTGGACGTACGTCTATGATAAAAGCACGATGTCAGGAACATAATTCATACATATTATGATTTTGCGAAGTTAGGTTATTTCACTGATTATTTTTATTTTCATTTTATTTCATGGTTTTGAGTGATACCTTAATAATAATTTTAGTGGCGAGTTTTTGTTTTGAAAAAACAGTTACGAGTAGAATACCTTAAGACAGGAACACCAAAGACCAAAGTATTATCCGAAAACAACCTAACCTGCTTTAACATAACCTAACTATTCATCTTTCAAAAATGATCGATCATGCAACACGAAAACATCGTCTATCTTTGTCGGATACATGCAAATTAGCAATACAGTTTGTTTAGACAATAAAATTATGTTTGTCTCTGTCTAACATATCAGAAACTTCATAAAATATATTCACAAATCGCCGTCGTTTGTCTTTACTACAGAATAAAATGATGACGTAGAAATGACGTCATTATGACGATCTAATATAACACCCAACTGACGTCATTATATGACGTGATAGTATGTCGTATAAAAGATCAAATACAAAGTTGACATGACGTGGATAAGACGTCTATCTTAGGTCGATATGACGTCCATGTGACGTCAATATGACGTACAGTAGAAGAAACCAATCACAAATTATCTATTGCATAAGCGTGGTATACAACCATGGTTATCTTATTTCCATTTGGTCTCGACATTTTACTATGTTTATATTCTAGAAACTCTTATAGGAAGCTGGAAAATATCGATTCAATTCTACAGGATCTCGTAAGCTTAGGGCAACTATATACTTCCACAAGTGAATCTGAAGGGAGTTTTATAAGGCTTCAGAAGTGGATGGACAAGTACGATAATTACACAGAAGATTATGATATCAGTCGGAGGCTTTTGCAGGTACAACAGGCCTAAATGTTTTTTGACATAAACATAAATCGCGACTTCCTGACGCTTTTAAAAGTTATACTAGACGAATCATGTTGATCAATCCACTATTTTTCATTTCGAAAATGAGATATTTCGTTTTTTGGATGTTATATGACATGTACAACACGAAAAACCATGTCATTCATTTCCGTCTGTCTTATTTGCCTTTAAAAATATCTCCTTCAATCGGACGTCGATACGTGCGACGTGGTCAACGGGATGGACAAGCGCCGTCGTCGGTGGTCGTTCGTTACAGTCGGCAGCGCTGTTGCCAGGTCAAAAAAATTGAATTCACCAGAAATTGGAAGGGAAAAATCACTAGGGATTTTAAAACGTGATTGTTTTAGCTGTATTACTATTTGTAAACGAAGAAAATGCATTTGTAGTCGCGAAACGCGATTCGGAAATTCAGTAATTGTTGGAGTTTTTGGTAACTGAAAGATTGTGAAAAATATTCAAAATCGACGAAATCAGCAGTGATTGCCATTTTTCATGTTTTTCACTAATCCCCAGATTAATCATGAAATCATCAGTTCTGGTGAAATTTCACCAGACCTGGCAACACTGTACTGTGGGCTGCGTGAACTGTCAGCAGAGCCAGTTGAATCAAACACAGGCACAAAAATCAACCAGATTTGCAACTTAAAAAAAACCCAAATCATATTTCGGCAGACGACGTTGGACTAGTTGGTTAACCAACTAATATTTAATCAATAAATTGAGATTATTTTTCAAACCTATAAACTTGTCACACCAACTTGTTTCTTGGTTAACCAACTAATAATTATTTATCACTAAATTGAGATTATTTTTCAAACTTATAAACTTGTCGCACCAACTTGTTTCTTGAACAACGATTGCGCATGAACTTAAAACGATACGCGCATTCACGATTAGGGGAGTGGGAACTCGCAGATCCGTGGATCGGCAATACGAGACCAGTTCTTTATCCCTAAATACACGTGTCAGACAGAGATAGCTAAGTCAACCCTCCAACTTGCAGCTTATTATTCTGCTATTGTTCTGTGCTCTATGACTATACGAGTAGACGCATGTCTACCGATCTACAATTGACATAGAGGTGTAGAGATGGGCCAGCGTAAATTTGTGGAGATGGGTGCGACATGGGAAAAGAAAAAGCTGTAGAAAGTTAGCAGTGGACAGTTTTTCGTAGCTAAAAATGGAATAAAATCCCACAGAACATTTAACCCCCCCAAAAAATCCCCAAGCGACGTAAAAATCCCTAAATTTTTTTGTTATACATACAGAAAGGCTAACTTGTGTCAAACAAATTCATTTTTTTTTGTAGTTAAGCCCATCTTGCGAAGACATGCTCCAATCGTGTAGATGGGCTGATGAGCAGCAAGACTGTTCCAAACTGTTCTCGACAAGGATAACATACGACGGATTTTGCTGCACGTTCAACTATGTGAGACAGTTTACAAATTCCAAAATGTACGTTTTTTAGGCGCATTCTTAGAATATATAGATATTGCTTTTCATTGAAACATTTTTTAGTTACTCTAATTCCGGACAAAAGATAGAGCCAGGTTCCGAGGAACCAAGAAAACCCATCGGTGCAGGAATGATGAACGGTCTGAGTCTGGCGTTAAAAAACGATTTAGACGATTATTTCTTCACCACCTTAGAAACGACAGGGGTACAAGGTGTTGATATTCAATGCTGCCGACTATCCAGACAAAATAAGCGGTTCCCTGAACGAATCATAATAGGATTTAATCAGGAAGTTCTCATTGGACTGCAGGTGGACCTTTGCAGAGGATCTTCTTCCTTAGCGCAACTACCTTTAAGCTTGGTTAGTATGCTTTTTCCTACGAAGTATTGTAAGCGCGAACGAGGTATTATGTCTAGGTCTCCCACTGTGCCCACCTCGACATTCCTTCAAGCGACCCGTATTCCTGAGTCTCTGCCCAAGGTTAACAAATCTACGGTACCTTGGATGACGACGTCTGGAAAAACGATCTGCATACACTCGCGAAGCCTCGGTCGCATTTTGAAGACACTCACCGTCAATTAACAGCATGTCGACTAGTTCGCTGATGTAGTATGAGCGCCATTTAATTTTTATTTTTTAATTAGCAATCGGTTGTAATGGTTTGTTGACCTACACTACTTGTGTCTAGGTTAGGTTGAATACTAGCGTATTTACATAGTAGTCGTACGTCGTATCAAAGGAAAACTTTGCGGACATCCTGTACAGTCATTATGCTGCCACAAACAAATTGAAGAAATTATTTTTCTGGGTGTCACTGAGTATATTACGGAATATTTTCTGTTTCAGAGAAGATGTATGTTTAGAGCTGACGGTCGGACAAGTTTCGGTCCGTATTCGCACAGCGACTGTTTGGTAGATTGCAAAACGAAAAGTATTGTTTCATTGTGTCAATGCATTCCTTTTACGGTACCAGTCGAATCGGAAGACGTCAGTGCCTGTTCTTTGATAGATCTGCCATGCCTCGGGAGATATACAGGTCCGATATCAAAGTTCGCTTAGAATCAACTGCATTTTTCATACAAGGTGGATACATCAACATACGTCTTATAGAAAAATCTACACAATGTCAAAAAACCGTACATAGTGACGTAAGAAATCAATATAATGTCACTTTTTAAATTACCTAATATGTCTGCCGAATTGTAAACAGCGGGCAATTGTACGTTCCTTGTCCATGACCTTGACAATGACCTTCAAGACTTCTGATGACTGAGGATTTAGCGGGACATGAAATTACTATCCTTGAAGCAATAATTGGAATGTTTCGTAAAAATTCACCTCACTTAGAAATGACCTTGAAGATAATAGACAAAGTCACGGTTAAGTACAAGATTTACCTTTGAAAAAGGAGTTTCTCTAACTATTTTCCGGGCTAGCCGTCATTTCTAGCACTGTATCGATATCGAATTTGGAATCTGCGCATCCGATTTACCCAGAAAACATGTTTCCATCTGGATCATAGACGCGCAACAGTTTTTTTTAATTTTTTATTAGTCGTTTATTGACAAAGTTTTCGGACTGAATGGCCCATGGATTCGGTTCAGGGACCCAAAAGCGTATCGCCAAACGTTTATCATTTGGATCTTCCGCTACGCCAATGGGCTTTGCCCCGCAGAGCTCACATTCAAGGTCAACATCACTTTGATCCTTTCCAAGCCTTCCAACTTTGTTCTACAACACCTTTCTATAGGAAACGCCGTCATTTTCGAAATATTTTGATGTATCCATAGTTGTGAAATATAAGTGCATTTGTTCTTAACAGAAAAGTACATTTTTACATGTTACACTCATACATTTTTTTAGGGAATGGTCTAAGTATTACCCAAAAGATTTGGAAGATGAGGAATTGCTGGTGCAAGAACAATACGACTCGTTATCTTGCGAACATTGCTTACCATCATGTAGCCATACTGTGTATAAACCGTTCACAAGCATTGCAAACGTACTAGACAAGTAATCCTTGATAAATATCAAAATATATAATTTTAAGAGCTTTTTTACAGGCAGAATATAACATACGTTCATAATTTTCTTCGACGAGAGTTTCTCAAACATCTACAAAATCAACTTGTTTCAGACATGGTTTGAAATATTGAGTAAGTATTAGTATATCCCACTTCTGAATACTCAAAGACTCTTTCATGTTATAACGCCAGGAAATCCATTCAGATGTTGCGTTTCTACCAAATGCTTTAGGCAGACATTTATTCTGATAAAACTATCATTTTTTGTTTTCTTTACAGGTAATTTTGGAGGAATTTTATCTTTACTCCTAGGAGTAAGTGTAATCAGCGCCATCGAGGTGATATTCTTTATTGTTAGACTAGTCTTCTTATATTTGGCAGATATTTTGGACAAACAACGATTTACAATACAAAAGTATTCAAACATAGAATGTTAAAACGTTGAGTTTCAAGTCATCTATTAGATCTTTCCAAATTTGTAAGAGATATTCAATGGATTTAAACAGAATTTTCTGCTATTAATAAATGATCATTATTATTGCTTGTTTTTTCGTGACATACATCATTTTAAATTTTTTTCTCGATGACAGCACTTCCTACCAGAGCTTTTTACAGGCAGAATATAACGTACGTTCATATTTTCTTCGACGAGAGTTTCTCAAACATCTACAAAATCAACTGTTTCAGACATGGTTTGAAATATTGAGTAAGTATTAGTATATCCCACTTCTGAATACACAAAGCCTCTTTCAATGTTATAACATGTTTGAGAGACGCCAGAAAATCCATTCAGATGTTGCGTTTCTACCAAATGTTTTAGGCAACATTTATTCTGATAAAACTATAATTTTTTTGTTTTCTTTACAGGTAATTTTGGAGGAATTTTATCTTTACTCCTAGGAGTAAGTGTAATCAGCGCGATCGAGGTGATATTATTTATTGTTAGACTAGTCTTCTTATATTTGTCTGACATTTTTGGACAAACAACGATTAGTAGAAAAGTATTCAACATAGAATGTCAAAACGTTGAGTTTCAAGTCATCTATTAGATCTTTCCAATTTGTAAGAGATATTCAATGGATTTAAACAGAATTTTCTGCTATTAATAAATGATCATTATTATTGCTTGTTTTTTCGTGACATACATCATTTTAAATTTTTTTCTCGATGACAGCACTTCCTACCAGAGCTTTTTTACAGGCAGAATATAACGTACGTTCATATTTTCTTCGACGAGAGTTTCTCAAACATCTACAAAATCAACTTGTTTCAGACATGGTTTGAAATATTGAGTAAGTATTAGTATATCCACTTCTGAATACGCAAAGACTCTTTCAATGTTATAACATGTTTGAGAGACGCCAGGAAATCCATTCAGACGTTGCGTTTCTGCCAAATGCTTTAGGCAAACATTTATTCTGATAAAACTATCATTTTTTTGTTTTCTTTACAGGTAATTTTGGAGAAATTTTATCTTTACTCCTAGGAGTAAGTGTAATCAGCGCTATCGAGGTGATATTCTTTATTGTTAGACTAGTCTTCTTATATTTGTCTGACATTTTTGGACAAACAACGATTAGTAGAAAGTATTCAAACATAGAATGTCAAAACGTTGAGTTTCATTTTATCTATTAGATCTTTCCAAATTTGTAAGAGATATTCAATGGATTTAAACAGAATTTTCTGCGATTAATAAATGATCATTATTATTGCTTGTTTTTTCGTGACATACATCATTTTAAATTTTTTTCTCGATGACAGCACTTCCTACCAGAGCTTTTTTACAGGCAGAATATAACATACGTTCATATTTTCTTCGACGAGAGTTTCTCAAACATCTACAAAATCAACTTGTTTCAGACATGGTTTGAAATATTGAGTAAGTATTAGTATATCCCACTTCTGAATACACAAAGACTCTTTCAATGTTATAACATGTTTGAGAGACGCCAGAAAATCCATTCAGATGTTGCGTTTCTACCAAATGCTTTAGGCAAACATTTATTCTGATAAAACTATCATTTTTTTGTTTTCTTTACAGGTAATTTTGGAGGAATTTTATCTTTACTCCTAGGAGTAAGTGTAATCAGCGCTATCGAGGTGATATTCTTTATTGTTAGACTAGTCTTCTTATATTTGTCTGACATTTTTGGACAAACAACGATTAGTAGAAAAGTATTCAAACATAGAATGTCAAAACGTTGAGTTTCATTTCATCTATTAGATCTTTCCAAATTTGTAAGAGATATTCAATGGATTTAAACAGAATTTTCTGCGATTAATAAATGATCATTATTATTGCTTGTTTTTTCGTGACATACATCATTTTAAATTTTTTTCTCGATGACAGCACTTCCAACCAGAGCTTTTTTACAGGCAGAATATAACGTACGTTCATATTTCCTTCGACGAGAGTTTCTCAAACATCTACAAAATCAACTTGTTTCAGACATGGTTTGAAATATTGAGTAAGTATTAGTATATCCCACTTCTGAATACACAAAGACTCTTTCAATGTTATAACATGTTTGAGAGACGCCAGGAAATCCATTCAGATGTTGCGTTTCTAACAAATGCTTTAGGCAAACATTTATTCTGATAAAACTATAATTTTTTTGTTTTCTTTACAGGTAATTTTGGAGGAATTTTATCTTTACTCCTAGGAGTAAGTGTAATCAGCGCTATCGAGGTGATATTCTTTATTGTTAGACTAGTCTTCTTATATTTGTCTGACATTTTTGGACAAACAACGATTAGTAGAAAAGTATTCAATCATAGAATGTCAAAACGTTGAGTTTCATTTCATCTATTAGATCTTTCCAAATTTGTAAGAGATATTCAATGGATTTAAACAGAATTTTCTGCGATTAATAAATGATCATTATTATTGCTTGTTTTTTCGTGACATACATCATTTTAAATTTTTTTCTCCATGACAGCACTTCCTACCAGAGCTTTTTTACAGGCAGAATATAACGTACGTTCATATTTTCTTCGACGAGAGTTTCTCAAACATCTACAAAATCAACTTGTTTCAGACATGGTTTGAAATATTGAGTAAGTATTAGTATATCCCACTTCTGAATACGCAAAGACTCTTTCAATGTTAACATGTTTGAGAGACGCCAGGAAATCCATTCAGACGTTGCGTTTCTGCCAAATGCTTTAGGCAAACATTTATTCTGATAAAAACTATCATTTTTTTGTTTTCTTTACAGGTAATTTTGGAGAAATTTTATCTTTACTCCTAGGAGTAAGTGTAATCAGCGCTATCGAGGTGATATTCTTTATTGTTAGACTAGTCTTCTTATATTTGTCTGACATTTTTGGACAACAACGATTAGTAGAAAAGTATTCAAACATAGAATGTCAAAACGTTGAGTTTCATTTCATCTATTAGATCTTTCCAAATTTGTAAGAGATATTCAATGGATTTAAACAGAATTTTCTGCGATTAATAAATGATCATTATTATTGCTTGTTTTTTTCGTGACATACATCATTTTAAATTTTTTTCTCGATGACAGCACTTCCTACCAGAGCTTTTTACAGGCAGAATATAACATACGTTCATATTTTCTTCGACGAGAGTTTCTCAAACATCTACAAAATCAACTTGTTTCAGACATGGTTTGAAATATTGAGTAAGTATTAGTATATCCCACTTCTGAATACGCAAAGACTCTCTCAATGTTATAACATGTTTGAGAGACGCCAGGAAATCCATTCAGATGTTGCGTTTCGGCCAAATGCTTTAGGCAAACATTTTTTGTTTTCTTTGCAGGTAATTTTGGAGGAATTTTATCTTTACTCCTAGGAGTAAGTGTGATCAGCGCCATCGAGGTGATATTCTTTATTGTTAGACTAGTCTTCTTATATTTGACAGACATTTTGGACAAACAACGATTAGTAGAAAAGTATTCAAACATAGAATGTCAAAACGTTGAGTTTCATTTCATTATTAGATCTTTCTAAATTTGTAAGGGATATTCAATGGATTTAAACAGAATGTTCTGCTATTAATAAATGATCATTATTATTGCTTGCTTTTTAGTGACATCATTTTAAATTTTTTCTCGATGACAGCACTTCCTACCAGTACGTAGTCGTGAGGAGTAACATGGACGAATTTGATATATCTTATTATTATTTAATATCACAATACAATTTTTACATATAAAAGTTTCGTCGTCATCAAAAAGTAGATATTTCTATTGTCTTCATCTCTCGATATATATTTTCTTTGATAGCCTCCACCATTTCAGCTCCCGTGTGTGTCCCGCCAATATCTGGAGTATGAATTTTGTCGTAGACTAAAGTATTGTAGACTGCGTTACGGATAATAGATGCGTGAGCATCTTCTTCAAATATGTCAGCATGTCTATACCTGCGTTGATCATCGCCACCGGATTCACGTATTTCTCGTCTGGAACAGGAATTTACTTCTCGTTACTAGGACGCCAATTTGATACCGCTCGAAAAAGTCAAATCAACAATAGCAATAAGTTTATCTCCAATAGGCAGATACACCCAATTGCAGAAAAAATAAATAAACATTGATAAAGTACAGCAACATTGATAAGAATTAATATAATAACAACTTCATCAAGGTAAGTTTTACGACACGAGATTTATTGTCATTAAATATGCCGCAGTTACTAATACTATTGAATAGTACAAATATAAGGATCTTTGTAATTAAAAACTATTATTTATTGTTCATTTTTTAATTCGATTTATGAATTTTTTTATTCATATTCGTTATTTGTATTTAATCAATAAGACTTTATAATTACAAATTCTTTGATCGTATTAAATTCCTTCTTTATCGACTGTAAATTCAATGCCCCACGGTACCGAATGGGTGTTTAGGCCTTAGGCCTTCGTGGTAGTTGGAGTATAAAAAAAAATGCTTTGCTGTCTACCAAATTGTTTTCCGTAAAATAAATAGATTCAAATTTATGTTCTGTACATATCGTTGTAAATAAGAAGCCTTTTGTGAATCACGTTTAACATATAATATATTATATGAATATTATACAACAAAGGGCGCTAACTCTATGAAATGTAATATCAATTTGTTATATTTATGAATCATCAGCGGAAAATGAATGATGACATTTGATCTCAAACGATAAATCATCAATAAAGATTAAAAATAATAAGGGTCCCAAGTAAGAGCCCTGTGGAACTCCTGAAGTAGCTGTGTAGTTATCAGACTCATGATTTATGTTTAAACGTTTTCTGTATATCAGTATAGATTCGGCAATAAATTGGTTAAAATAAGCTAAATTGAAAGTCCTAGATCGCTCAGAAACAAACCCAAGTCGAAATTCAGAGATATGGGGCTTGCAAAAGTTATAAGCAATTATCTCGAATGATTTGCCAAAAACAAGCTTAAAAGCCCTTACCTGCAAACGATATATGTCGCGAAGCAACTTCAAACACGGCACTGGAGTCGCCATAATTCCGTCCAGACATGAGACCAGGTCCTCCGATCAATCCGCATATAATACTAGTTATGATATTTCCGTATAGGTTGGGGGTGAGAATCACGTCGAAACTGTGAGGCTTGGAGACCAATTGCATGCAACAGTTGTCGACGATAAGATCGTTCACTTCGATTTCGGGATAGTCTTTCGCTACGTCTAATACTGTTTTCAGGAACAGACCGTCCGATAGCTTCCTGCAAACAAAAATAAACGAATAATAGTTTTAGGGCCACTTTCACCAACATTAATATTTGACGGTGAGGTGGACCAATAGGAAAAGACCTTATCAAAATGCAATTTGACGGAAGCTGTCAAAGCTCTCTGAATATCAGTAATTTCTATTGAAATAATGAATAAAGTTGTGAAAAACGATTGCCTTATAAATAAGGGTGCATTATAGTTGTTATATTATGTCTTTGTGCTTTAGAGTTAGGATAACTTTCATAGAATGAAATTTTTTTATTTCACAAAAGACGGTCGATAATAATCGATAATAATATTTATTCACTCAATGTACAAAGATAACAAAAAATATGAGTAAATAAATATAAAATCAAAACAGGCCCAATAGAAGGCATCGCCTGTACATGGACCAATAAATTTAAGTTGAAACTGTAGAATGCAAATGTCAAAAAAGGACAAAAATTAGCTACAGCAGATTATGTATTTAGTTGATGTTCGTATTTATAAGTTTATGAATTTCAGTCCTAGCTATAGAATGTAGCCACTTTTTTAAATTTCTTTTGAAACAATTTCCGAAACGTAAATCTTTTAAGTCTTTAGGTATAATTTCATAAAATTTAGGCGCTAAATAGAGATATGATCGCTGCATTATAGATTTATGCGGTTGAGGAACTACTGTGCCACGAATTTTGTACCTGGTATAATGATTATGTTTAATTTTTTGGTCGGTGTTTACAAATTTATGGTAGTGAGTGATACTGTGTAAGAAATAAAGCTGTCTTATATCATACATTCGAACATCTGCGTATAATTTTTCAGTGGGATAAAGTTTCGGTTTTTTAGAATACTTTTTGAAAAACATCTAAATTATACGTATAGATATGTGAGGAACATGCAGCTCCCCATGCTAATATACCATATGTGAGATGAGGCTCAATCAGTGCATGGTATAATGTTCGAAGATATTTTTCTGTCAATATATTCCCAAGGTATTTAATTTTGTAGGATACAAATCTAACTTTCTTTAAAATATAATTGACATGGATGTCCCATCGTAAGTGAGGATCCAAGACCACTCCAAGGTATTTTATGTTGGGCACTCTATTAATTTGCATTTTTTGATCATTAATATTGAAGGAGAAATTTGTGTAATTTGGCAGATGTCTAGCATAAGATCCAAATGGTAAAAAATGTGTTTTAGAGTAGTTAATGCTTAATTTTCTACTGTTAAACCACCGAATAATTTTGATAAAATCATTTTCAATTATATTTTTCAGATCAGACCAGTCAGTGCCTTCATATAATATCGCAGTATCATCTGCAAAACTAGTTATTTTGCCAACACAATTAATTTGGAAAATATCATTTAAATATATATTGAATAACAGCGGACCTAAGACAGTTCCTTGTAGGACACCACACTTAATATACATTTCTTTACTAAATGATCCTGATATCTGCACAGATTGTGGGCGATTTGACAAATAACTTTCGATCAGTGAGTACGCGTTTCCTCTGAAACCAATTCTCTCCAACGCTTCTAATAATAATTTGTGATTAACTGTATCGAAAGCTTCTTTAAATCAACAAAAATGCAGATTGAAGGGATTCTGTTATCAATATTTTGATGTATTTGATTTACAATTTTAGTTATTGCGTCCGATGTAGCCTTCCCTTCTGTAAATCCATATTGATTTTCACTTAAAATTTTGAATTTTGTGAGGTATCGAATCATTCT